CTGGCATGCTTGTGTTTAAGAGATTAAATATTTGGTCAATACAAGACTCAGGATGTTATAGGGATCCAAATAAACGAGAATAATATAAAATAACGAATCAAAGAGAATCATAAACTAAAGTAAAATTTAAAAAAAATAATAATCTTATCAATGTTTTATAAATGGAGTCAGACAAAACGAAGATAAATATATTAATATTTTAAACCACCGAACATTCAGTGAACCTTCTTCACCAGTAGACACCATCATTGGACTAACTGGTTGGACCTTACACAGTACACCCATTGAATATGTTAGGGGTAAATATTACCCCTATAACATTTTAATAAAGATGAAGAATCAAAAGAACCATAAGATATTACATTTATCTTAAATTTTCAAGGTCTTTGTTGCTGTTGTTGTTTATTTGTTTTTTGCAAACCCTCATTTAAATTTGTTATGTTTATCGTTCATGAGAAAATATAAATATAAAATATAAATAATATAAAGAGGGGTGTACTTGTTCATACTGTATAAACACTATAAATTCACAAAAACCTCTAAATGCCGTCTGAAATTTTCTCCTGTATGTATGTTCAATAATATCACTTTTATAGCAAAGAATAAGTCCTTTTCCTGGTCTTTAAAGTAATATATCTCAACATAAACAAAAGAGGCTGAGAAAAATGTTTATTTTCAATAGAAATTTCAGAGAGCATAGAGGATTTTGCAATTGAACTTTTCACATACATATAAAAAGCATTTTCTGACCCTAAATATGGTGGGGGGGATCCTCAACGCCACTGCACATATATAATCAGCAAGCAATAAGCAATACTAATACTTTATAATAACTGATTGCTGCCATCTAAAACTGTGATGAACTATAACAAACAGCAACATATATCACGTTTACAACCCAGGCTCATTCTGAAAACGTACCACTTATAGATTTCTGGAGAGTACCAAATTTGTCCCAGGACCTATGTTTTGTTATAGTTTTTGTTTTCGCGAATCCACCAGAGGCCGCTTTGTACACTTTTTTGATCTCAAAATTCTCTTGCAAGTGCCATTTTGCCTGCTGTTTTTGTGTAAATCCACCAGAAGCCGAAGTCGACGGACTGACAGAATAATCGACTGACCCACCTTTCTCCTTCCCTAAATCCAACCAATAGTGTTTTCATAAGCACAGATTGACCCGCTCACCCAATTCTCTAAACTCAACCGACAGTTTTAAAAAGCAATCTAGAAAAAAAGAACCCTCGCCTGATTTTTACCACATTTTCAGATTTTACCACATTCTCACCCTGTTATTTACTTGTTTATTTAATTTTTTTGGATTCTATTTTTGGTTTTACCTGCTGTTTGTAACTGTTCTTTGCCGGACTCAAACCCCGTCGTCATGGTCAATTCCTCTCTGCATCTCAAGTCCACCAACATACATGGCAAGCTACTGGTAAAACTGGTAACAGCATGAATGCTGTCCACACTGAGGTAAGCGGTCAGCTGGTAAGCGCAAAAAAACAACAGTGTCATATCGCCCTGTAGTGTTAGTTTTAAAGACGAAATGCAGCCATACTTCTGGCTACATAATTCGCAATCTCCAGAAATGTGTATAGAACTACATTTTCAGGATGAGCCTATGTTGCAGTTTTAGATATGGCAGCAAGATAGTTTTAGACAGACATGAACGTAATTAATGGCTTTGAAGTTTGAACACAACAAAAAAATCTAACGAATCACTTCAATTTGTTGCTGTGTGCATCAAATGTGAAATACAATCTATCAAGCAGTCAATCCACACAAAGCGCTGTCAACTGGTGTCTTGAACAAAATTGATTGTATCATTTCACACATTATAAAGGCCTTCTGAAGAGATAAGCCAAAATCTTTCATCAAATAAAAAAAATGACCATTAAAAGAAAAACAAATCACAAAATCGCAAATCCCTCTTCACAACTCAGCCACTGTGATTGATGAATGGCTCAGGGAATACGGAAATGGCTTTTTTTCAAGCAGCAACTCTCTGTGTGGCTTAAAATTGTAGTCCATTGTTCCAAAGTCACACCCTTATTATTACACAGAAAATCGCATCCTTCTTCAGCATCACAGATTAACTGGCAGCCTTCTAAATGCCCTTTGCCCTCTTGCTATTGCAGTTTCAGCTGCTGTGTCCTCTTGTTCGTCCATCTGGATAACAATGAGACGCAGACTTATGCCACAGACAAGCAGAACAGACGGTTCTCCTTTCAGGACAGTTAAAAAAAACGACCAGTCCAATACCAACAGTCAGTGTGTGACAGGTGATTAAATAGTGCAACCCGGAAAAGTTGCTTGAAGAGGCGCTTGCAGTTTTTTGGGGGGTGGTGAATTACACTGTAACTAAATACTGAGTCCCACACAATTGCTTCATGTTGTCCCAACACAAATTGATGAAGTTAACATAACAAATTTAAGTGGATTGAACAATCCCTCTCTCTCTCTCTCATTGAGAGATCTGCTGTCAATTAGGGTTGGGCGATGTCGACTAATTTGGCATCGTACAATGTCTAATATGAAACATCACGATGGACGATGGCATCCTCGTCATTGGTGGCGGTGAATTAATTATGAATAATTAATTAATTCATAACAAATTAATTATTTGTAGCCAACCGTTTTAACTAGCTGACCCGCATGGTCTTTATTTTACCCATAACCAAATCATAAATTAATAAAGATAAGTTACACACATAATTACCACCTGTCAATCACTTTATCCTCAGAACTCGTGAATAGGTGTGAATAGGCCGAATGATGTGTTGTTATAATGGCATCAACAAACTTGGTTGGTAAAAAAGGTGCACAACCAACAGGAAACAACCAACAGTATCTGAAGTTTTCACTAAAATTAATAAGTACAAGCGTGACAGGTGTCTGTTGGCCATCGGCGATCAACAATGACATTGTCTATCAGCCCAACCCTACTGTCAATAGTTTAAAATAGCATTTTAGAATGAAAACAATTCACGTCCACACTGGCGTATTACCTACCATGTCTGAAAAGCCCTCCTTCCACAATACCGCTGAAAACACACATCACGTGACCACAAACTGTCATGCACTGCAGTGAAGGCTATGCACGCATCTGACTCTGAGCTCCAACAATCACGCTAGAGAGCAGTTCATGTTGAACAGTTTATCAAGGATGTACCAAGTAACGTGTCACAGCGTTAGTAGACTGCTTCAATCTTTCACTTTCACGCTGGTACTTAGTAATTTTAGCAAAAACCTCAGATTCTGTTGGTTAGTTCCTGTTGGTTGTTGACCTTTTTTTAACCAACCAAGTTGGCCAAGCAGCAGCGACCCGCTCATGAAAAATACACACTTAGTCCCTGTTTACACTAATACGTCTTAGTTTCAAAATGCCATTTTAAAATAAAAAACAATCCACGTCCACACTTGCGTTTCATTGAACATTTCTGAACAGCCTTCCGTCAACACTATACCACTGAAAACGCACATCATGTGACCACACACACACATGCGCTGCAGCATACGTACACGTTAGAACTCCAAGCACTCAGCAGCTGGTGCAAGTATTTCTTTTTCTACTGTAGATATCACCAACCAGCAATCTTTAAAAATATCTTCTTTGACTTCAATGGGAGACAGAAACTCAAAAAGGAAACTCTCATTTCAAGTGAATAATTTGCTAATGTCGTATAGTGTAATCAGGCAAAACATACAAGACTTGAAAATTGTTTCTACTTCAAAATTTCATGTTTTATTTGATGTTATTAGCCATTTTTTGTGACAGCTTACTAGCAATTTCCGTATTTGAAAGAATAATCTATTCGCCAAAAATCTTTTTCTTTGAACAGCTTTCGAAAAAGTAATTAGCATAAAACTTAAACTGAATTTCTGAATGTATCCACTTTTGATTTCAAATACTTTCAGATTTAAAATGGTCAAAATTAACATTCTAATCATAAGTTTATTTCATCACCATAATCCTAACAATACATTTAGATATGACTCCATCAACTAAGTTGAGTAGCCTACATAAAAGATGCTAAGACTTTACAATAAGGTTGCATTAGTTTAATGTAAGTTCATGTGTTTACTAACATGAACAAACAATAAACAGCACGTCTATAACAGTATATATTCATCTTTGTTAGAGTTAGTTAATGAAAATAAAGTCATTCATTGTTAGTTCTCGTTAGCTCGCACATTATTAACTATAATGAATAGAATTTTGTATTGTAATAATGCATAATAAATGTAGAATTAATTAATCACGTGCATGTTTTGTTCGTTCTTAGTTCACGTAAGTAACGTTAAATTGTAAAGTGTGACCAAAGAAACTCTTAAAATATTTCAATATTGGGTCTTCTTTCAGTTCTTTAAACAATCAATATTTTACTGTAAATAACACTGTAAAAATCTAAAACTTCTTTTTCCACTACAACAACCGTTCGTGGAATGGAAATGGACATTATTCGCCGGTTGTAACATTTTTATTGTCAATAGAGCCCACATGTAAAGCCTCTAAACACTGCAGTCTTGCTCATACTATTTCAGTGACAAACTCCTCAGTGAAAGGCCCAACCATTATGGATCAATAACAGTCATCTAATTATTAATGAGGCTCCCGTATGTAAAGCGTCGCTAATAAACACATAATCACTCTCTAAAACACTACGAGTCTCTTACATAATTTTACACTATCGAGCTATTTTGATGTACATAAGGTTCTGTTTAATGTGTTCAGAAACATCTGGCTGTAGTCGCACTGACATTCTTGTTTGTTCAGCAAGTCTTCGCGGACCCTAGTGGTTAATTAATGGTTAATTACATTTTTCATCCTAAACCCTAACAGTAATAACAGCATTATTTGTTATTGTTGAACACACATCTGCACACTTCAGCATAGATATATGAAATCAGAATCATGCCATCTCGAGCCACATGAGCCGCATGTTGTGATATCCCGAAACTATAAATAATGCATGTAAAATGAGAGCACAGACACTTACCGAATAGAAGAATACTACAATGAGTGCCCGTGCCGCCTTTTGTGTAATCCACAGAAATATGAGGGGGGAAATAACTTCAGATGAATCTACATGAGAATCCCTCGCGAAACTGACGCTCGGTTGGAGGCACGTGGACTAAGGCGTTTCGGACGGTCGTAAATTTAGTAAAACGGCCGTAAGAAATGGACGGATTTTTTGGGGATAATCTCTGCGTTTGTTATTCAGTGAGCAGCAGCCACTGGCGCATAGACTGCGCTCCTCCCGCGGCTCCACCCGCGTGCCCCGCCCTCTCGGCCCGCTCATTGGCGCAGACGGGCGTTTATGCAAATTATCCTCTTCCCGCTTATGTTCAAGAGTCTGAATGGGATGCAATGGATCAGGCGGTAGGAGTAAAACACCGTCATCTAGAGGCCAAACGGTTGAGCGCTTTTCTCAACGTTTACAGTGGGTTTTTTTTCTTCAATTGCTGCTTTCAGGATTCTTTTTAATAATAAACAGCCTATTCCTATTCAAAATTTACAGATGTTGGTTAAAAAAAGGTTGCATTTAAATACAAATACAGTGCATAACATAATATCGTATGAAGGGTCAAAAACCACATAACATAAAAACAATTATTAAATACTGTTTTTTATTTTTTATTTTAAATATTTCTGAAAATACCCAGAATATCTGTGTATTACCACAGATTTATCACCTTAATCTTGCAGTCTTTTACTTACATTAATATATTAGTATTCAATTATTATTATTTTCTATTTATTTACTAATTTACTTATATCTTGTTCAATTTTATCTTAAGTTTTTTTTTTCTGTTCATTCAATCATTTTCTTGTCGGCTTAGTCTCTTTATTAATCCGGGGTCGCCACAGCAGAATAAACTGCCAACTTACTGAAACACCAACTGAGCCAAGGTTCGAACCAGCGACCTTCTTTCTGTGAGACGACAGCACTACCTACTGCGCCACTGCCTCGCCCTCTTTTTTCTAATCTGTAATTTTAATATGGGAAATCAACTTGCGTGTTTGTTTTAATCTGGTATTTAATCAAATGTGTGATTATCTATATGAATCATAACTAGTAAGTAGAGTAAATGAGTCAAACTTTTTCAATTTCATTAATCCAAACATATTTAATTGTGATCAAATATTTGATCAAACAAATCTCTTAAACAAGTGTTTTATTTATGCCTAGCCTGTTTGCAAAGTCCAGCTTTAAAGTATGGATGATCATGATTTTCATATTCAAATATCGCTACTTACTTCGATTTTAGTTCGAGTATGACAGTCACTTTTATTGCTAAATCAGTGAAAGATAAATTGCAATTATGGTACAATTCAATTTGTTACATTTAATTCCACTGTAAGAAGCACATCTTTCATCACAGACTTCTTCAAGCCACTCAATTGGAGCTAGAGTCTTCAATTAGTTGCAATGTCCAGATTTTAAAAGCTTTTTTGCAATGATACTAACAGCCTACAGTATAAACAAATATGCTCAGCGAGATGTTCAATTAGAAGTGAAGGAGAATGTGAAAAGAAGAGAAACTATCGAAGCACATAGATACAGCAGCGCAGTACTGAACAACTCAACTCCTCACTTGTACACTACCAGTCAAAAGTTTGGAAACAGCAAGATTTATTCAAAGTTTTAACAGATACCATTTCTGCTTACTGCGACTGCATTTATTTGAAGAAAAATACAATAAAATTTTCATCAAATAACTATTCAATTTTGAGGTATTATTACACTTTTAAATAGCTGTTTTCTTATTGAATGGAGTTTCAATTTTTATTTATTTCAGTGAGTCATAGATGAATTTCCGTCCAGTCTTCGGTGTCACATCATTCACAAATCATTAAAATATGATGATTTGCGGTTTTATTTATGATCAGTTATTATAGTACTAGTAAATAGTAGTATTATTGGTACTAATACCAATAAATCTTACAATTAACAGTGCTGAAATTCTAAAAGTTTATTATTATTATTTATATTATACTATTTCTATATTTTTACACATGGTTAATATTTTAAATGAAAAAAAAACACAAATTAAAACTATTATTTTCTTCTTTATCAAAAAAAAATCCTAAAAATAAAATGCATCTTTTTCCATGATACTATGAAGCAAGAAAAAAACATTTTCAGCACTGATAACTGTAAGAATCATTAATATCAGTGTTTTTGTACCAATAATAATAATAGTATAATAATAATAATAATAATAGTAATAAATCATTATATTATGATTTTTGAAGGATTGTGGCACAGAAACCTGAATTAATGATGAAGAAAATTCAGCAACAAATTACATTTGAAACTACATTCAATAATTTAGTAATTAAAAAAATTGAATGTTTTAAACTGATTTTACTGTTATTTTTATCAAATAAATTCAGCCTTGGTGAGCAGAATTGTCTTTTTTAAACATTAACAAATCTTAGCCTTTCCAAAAATTTGTCTTGTAGTGTGTAAATCTAAATAAACATCTTAATTGTTTGACACAAATAAACCACCCAATTATTCACTCCCATCACACATAAAAGAAAATACTGCACATGTAGTGCAGTAAAGTCCGTTCAGTTAATTAACGTCCACAAGAAAACAACTCTAAACCTGGCTGCGTCTCTCCTGTTGCTGTCTCTTGTATGCGTTATAAACATCGAGGAACATGTTTCGGCAGGAAAAGCGGGCCTTCAGCTTGGAGCAGATGAGAAAGGAGCCGGCCATTTTGCGGTGCAGTGAGTAGGACTCCTCTGGTGGAGGAGTGAGGCGGTGGCGGAGCATGACTGGGATCAGGCTCTGGATGCGTTGCGTGGTGCTTTGAGTGCCGAAGTCAAATGCTTCTGCAGATGCGAACGCTTCGCCCAGGATCATAACTGCCTCCACGTGCGCATCCTCAAATGCCTGTGGAAAACAGAAGAGGGATAATTCACCCAAAAATGTGAATGTACTCTGTATTTACTCACCGTCAAAGTGGTTTCTTTCTTCAGACAAACACTAAAGGAAATATTTTGAAGAAAGCTGGAAACCTGCAACCATTGACTTCCATAGTACACTGTAAAAATTTTTTTAGAATAGCAGTTTTTCCTATTTGGTGTGTTTTTTTTTTGTTTGTTTTTTTGTTTTTTGCTTTGCTTTAAAATTGCATTATGGGATCTTGATGTTTTGATGCTTCTGAAATAACATCTAATCAATTATCTAACATTGTAATCTAATTGTAACCAGGAAGTCAGGTGACAATGGAATGAGGACCAATGCACACCTTTAGTTAACAGAGAATGGTCAGGTAGTCAACGGACAACAGGTACAAACAGTAGCATGAAGGCAATCCAGAAGCATAGTCCTAGGTCAAGTCACAGGCGATAAGATCAGTGCAGGCGGCAATAACAAAGAAGCAAACTATGAAGGCTAGGGTTAAAAAATACAGAAAGACTTGACACAGAGAAAACTTTGTAATGTAACAGCAAAACAAGACTCAGCAAAGAATGTGGGAATGTGAGCTGTATAAATAGTCCATGTAATCAGTTTTTGATCAGATACCAGGTATATGTGTGTGTGTGTGTGTGTGTGTGTGTGTGTGTGTGTGTGTGTGTGTGTGTGTGTGTGTGTGTGTGTGTGTGTGTGTGATCATCGGAGATCCGGAAACAGGAGTGTGTGAGGTGCATGATGGGACATGTGGTTCATAAAGTGACAGAATTGTAGTCCGTGTGATCTTGCATGTTTACCAGCAAGCCTGCATCGCTAGTGATCATGACACTAAGAATATTAAATAATAATTTTTAACATTGAAAGTCAACAGAGCAGAGATAAAACTGCTATCATGCAATTCCCAATAGTAAACAAACAGAAAACACTATGTGAAACACAAAATATACTATACTATAAAACTAATAATTTTAAAGAATGGATTTTTTATACAGTTTAGGAAAAACAAGTATTGTGGAAGTCAATAGCTGCGTCCCAAATCGTATACTTATGCACTATTCTACGCCATTTTGTAGTATAAATAGTGTAAGTAGTGCGTTCACACTAAAAACTCTAAAAATAATAAGTGCACTTTAATTACCCGGATGATGCATTGATTCAGCCGCTAAAGTAATGATGTAATGATGGACACTTCACGCACTCAACGACCGCAGGTTTGCTTACGTAGCGGAAGGGGCGGAGCTATCGGACGCACATGTTGAATAACTTTATTTAATTTTGATGGTGAAAGCAAAATTCTTTTACGAGAGTGATTATAGCGCCTCCCGATAGTGATTGCGGCAACACTCACGGCAGGTATTATTTGATAATTCGGCCGTTTACTTAAATGATTTGGCAACCGTCAAACGTCATCAGGGAAACGGTTTGAATTTCCGCTTAGTAAAAATAACATTAGTGTGCCATTTGGGACGACACTACATACATATACTACCCTGTTGAGTGTGTAAGTGCATAAGTACATAGTGCATGAGTGCATAGTGTATAGTGTGCCATTTGGGACACAGCTAATGGTTACAGGTTTTCAGCATTCTTCAAAATGTCTTCTTTGGTGTTCAACACATGGATGCTACATGTTTCATAAAGTCAAATTTAAAACTTAAGACCCTTTTAAAGCCATCATAATGGAATTTCAGACTTACACAAGACTTTTCCGTCCAGTTAAAACGCTTTAAAAAGCATTTTTTTTTAAATGTTATTATAAGGAAGCTAATTTAACCACATGTTTATAAACAGAAATAGAGATGGTAAATAGAGTTAATACATAGAGGCTACTTTGTTAAATCTTTTATTGAGATGGAATGATAGTGATTGGGTGGGTGTCAGCCTGATTGGGTAGCATAATATAGGCAAAGGAAAATTAGGACCAGTTTAAAATGATTTAAGAACTACAATATAATATTTCAATGAATTTAAGACTTTTCAAGACCCCGCGGATACCCTGTCAACAGGAAAAAGAAAGACAAAGAGATCTGGAACAGGTGAAGGGGGAGAAAATGTTGACAGTATTTTCAGTTTTGCATAAACAGTCCCTTTAAGAAATTAATAGCTTTGATTCCTTAGAGATATAATATTGTTGAGAAATAATTGAATGTTGTATAAATCCACAAACCTTGGCTTCAAAGCCGGTGAGGAACTTCAGGTCTTTAGATTTCTTCAGAACTGTAGCTCTGTCTCCGACTGATGCGGCATGTACCACCTTGAAATA